AATATCAAATATTAAAAATTCTTATAGGAAATTAGGCGAATTATCTTTAATGTTCGTTAATGAAAAACATGCGGCGGGAAAGTCCATTCTATGACTATTATTAGTTCAATATAATTATACAATTTCAGTGGGTTTGGCTTGTTTAGAATATCAACCAAGTCATAAGCGAGCATGTAAATGCAATTTGAATCATTTTCAGTTGTATTGAATAAATGTAACTTAACTGTTTTATTACTTTCGCGCAAGTTAGGTTAAAACTTAATAATTCACTTGATGCATATCAATGTCATTTCCATTTCCGAAACAGAAAATAAATTGTATCGACTTTATAATAGATACGTCATTTTGTAAAGATTTCAATGAGCAATTATTTAACGCTAGCACGTTACTGTCAAGTGTACCGTTCTAAGTCGTACGCGCTAAAAGTCAATTTTTTTAAACTAAAATATTAAAATCGAACGATTGATTGTGTTACGCGGTGTAATGACGTTTGCCGCATTAATTAACACGTGCGCCGTTAACGGTACACACGGCGTGCAAACAGAATCTATACCTTCGCAGAAAATATCTTAAAGAACTCTGTAATCACTGTTAGAAGAAGAAGAAGGTGGATGGGTTTCGGGTCCTTTAATAAATGAAAGATAGAATATTTAGTAATATTTTCCTTGTCGATCATTACACTTTCTAAAGTGTCACTGTTCCAGTGTATTTTTGATTATGCTCATGCGTCTAGCCGCCGGTTATAACACAAAATAATAATGTTAAGGATTTCAGCAAAATAATTTGTTTAGCTAGTCCTCTTGACCAGCATGTGGCATATAGTTTTTCCCGCTCTTTTCTTGATATCGTGCAATTCGTTACTTGTAGTAGTTGGTTGGAGTAATTGACAGTGCAAGATCTGCTCGGACCTTTGCATCATTACCAGTCCGTGATGCGACAACCTTGGGGAATTCTGATGGTTTCACGCACTTTTCATTCTTTCATTTCCTTGTCTCACTTATTCTTCGCTAAGGCTTCGATTTTCATTTTTTATTTGAATTTGTTTACTGCGTTGTTGTGCTCATAACCTATTGGAGTTTATGTTATGAGTGAAAGTGCGAGCAAAATATTCGCACTACAATGTAATTTAAGAATGCAAATAAGATGTGCTGGATGTGAAAGTTATATATTTACACACCCAACAGTTGAATGTATAAGCAATCTGCTACCGGTTTTTGTAAGAGAAGATTTAACTTGTTCTGGGTGCATGACGATGGGCAACTAAAAAGGTATCCCTTCGACCCATGAAAATGAAGCCAGTATAAAGTATACCATGACCCCGAAATCGGTCCGCTGCGAATATTCCGTCAATCGAGTTATTACACTCTGCGCATGCGCGACACATAAACCCGTAGAAGATATCCATCTTAAAAAGATATGTCTCTTTGTCAGATGTTTCTTTTATCTTTCTCACACAAAATCGACCAAATATTTAATTAGCGTCAAATACTACGTAAGGCTCGGTTTCATTCACATTTTAAAATAAATTTACTGCACAAAAAATGTTAATTAATTAACGGACTGTGCTACTGACAGTGTTGGTTTATTTTTGACGTAAATGAAAATAAAATGAAACAATTTATTACTGAAAGAGAAATACTAGTTAAAATGGGCATAAATTTATATTAAGACGCGCAACAATTTCAGCGAACTGAGTTTTCGTTTTAACTACAAGCTTCCTTTTACGAAGGTTGTCCATTGTATATCGCATTCAATTTGTAAAAATATATACATTTTCAGCCTTGGAAAATATTTCACTTATTTTTCAAAATATTCGTAAGCTTAAATACATTTTTTTTTATCATTTTTTCATAACAATCCTCGTAGGGAAGAATGGACAACAAGAAAAGAATTATAGCCAAATCGGTCCGAACCTTTCACTATCGTATCTTTTATCATGGTGCAATGTGTAAAGATAAAGAAAAGACTTATCCACCTCACAGCTCCCATACATGCGGGCTGGGGGTGGGCGGTATGTCGCTAAAGCACTAGATTTGCGAAAACCCATCAATCTGATGGGCAAATCTGAAGCTAAATTTTGGGCCTGATCTGGCCACATACACGCCCACAATGCAGGAGAAACTAAAACTACCTCGAAGAACACCGACAGTCTCTTCAAACCACGCCTTGCTGCTGCAAAATGCTGGTATAATATTCCTTTAAACGTGCCGGCCGTTCTCTGACTGTACTTGTTGTTCCAAAATATTGATATCATGCAAAAAGTGGTAATGCAAAATTGCTGCGAGGTTAGTTCGGTCCTGGGCATTAGTTCCTCCAGCATATATACAATATTAAGTAAGTATTAGCTATTATTTAGCGATTCACATTGGATGCCCCGTCGTTTTAGGAAATCTCGAAAACGTGCTTGCATTGATTAATGAAAACAAACTAAGATTGTGACATGGGTTTAGCGTGGGTACCTGCCAGTGCAGCGTCTTCAAAGGACGCAAAATGTGACAAATCATCCAATCCATGCGCGTGAGCCGAAATATAAACATCAGTCAACAGTGCAGGAATTTTAAGACGAATTATGTCCAACAAAAGTTTCGGAACAACTTGGCATATACCAACAGTGGCTTTAAGGAAACTAAAACGATCGGTTGCGCCTGGCACACAGCAATTAATTCAAAGCATCATTCATTATCAAGACAAAGCAAGTTCTCCAATATCCTTTCTAATAATCGATATATATATATATGTATATAATATTTAATGCTCTATTCGATAATAGGTCGCCCGCCGTACAATCCCGATTTGGAATCTAATGATTCTTTTTGTTCCTGAACATCAAGAATATAATGCTTGGATAACGATTTTCTTCGGCAGAAGAAGCCGCTGGTGTACTTAAAAGACCATGTGTCAAGAGGAATGGAGTATATACTATGGCAAGGGATTCCTAAGTATGCAAAAAAGTGTAGATCGTAAGTGATAGCATTTAGAAAGATGGTAAAGCAAATTTTAATGACACGTTGTAGTTATTTCATAATCAAACTAAAAATATAGATAGTGCTCCCCCTACCCACGTTGACAATATCTAACTCTTGCAAATGATTGAATTTGACAGCAAAGATGATCTATCTTGTGTCATCGGTTTAGACGGAGCATCGGTGTTTGCTGACACTACATGGAAATTAGGCGATCTTCTTCTTTCAGTTGATACGACAGCGAACTGTAACCACTCCAGCATACACAAGATTCCTAAGGCATGGCAATTATGAAAAGTCAAAGTCATTTCTACAAAATCATGTCAACATTTCCCCTCATATTAATCGTAATCGTAAACAAAAGTGAAGAAATTGCAGCAGAGAAATGTTTGCGAATTAAAATCGCATATTATGCCTGCGGTATAATATTCTCAACGCATTGTAAAGGACAACAAATAAAACAGATAGAAAAATCATACTCGCCTACAACTGAATCTGTTATACCCATCACCGTTATCTTAAACAAGACTGTAAGGCAAAGGAAAAGCTGCATTTCCCTACTCTGGCTGATTATTTATATTTTCGTCGACTAAAACAGGAAATTCTTATCGTGTGTTTGTTGTAGTTGATAAGTAATGAGGAAAGACCACGGAAAGCAAAGCATTATAGGTGTGTCGTTTACCCGGTTTGTATCATTGTCAATTTGGTTTGCATATTTCATTTTTGCGAACAGGAGAATGCTTACCCTACACAGGTGGGCAGGCAAACGCATGGACAGATGAACAGACTTAAACGTATCCTAGATTTGACGCTGGTGTAGAACGTATCGAAGAGTGTCGTAGTTTGCTTATGAGCTTTACGAAAATGTTGGCAACGAAGTTACATTTTGATAGACTCTAACTTTGGGTAGACGTGCATTGGTACATCTAGGCCATACGGACAAAGTTTTATGGGCTTAACTGCTGTAGTGTGTGAGTAAAACCGATATTTTTTCCCCATTGAAAAACAGAGATATTCTCAGTTTACGTGCCAGTGCAGCCGTGTCCTTCAGCCAATTTGGGATGCGTGCAAGAGATTCTAATGTTTCTGTCGAATTTGATGCGGATAACTTCAGTTTTGCGGCCAGGACAATCCTTACAACCGACGTTACATAGACGGGCAGGTAGCCAGATGGACACACGGACATGCTTCAATCAATTTGGAATTTGATAAACTGCCTAAATGTATGTATACTTTGTTGAATCTCTGAAGCTTTCTTCTAAGCGTTGCAAGCATTTTTCAGTGAGACATTACGGAAAGGGACAGAAGAACATATCTAAATGTAAATACTTTATTGAATCTTTGGAACTTCCTTCTGGGCGTTGCAAACATTTTTCAGTTAGACATTACACAGACGGACAGAAGGACATATCTAAATGTAAATACTTTATTGAATCTTTGGAACTTCCTTCTGAGTGTTGCAAACATTTTTCAGTCAGACATTACGGAAAGGGACAGAAGGACATGCTTAAATTTATATATAAATATATTTTACGGAATCTTTGAATCTTCCTTGTGGGCGTTGCACACATTTTAAGAAAATGAGTACATCTCGCATCCCTCGGCGATGGGTATGCGAACATTGTATGAAAGGAAGACATGCTGAGGAAATGCTTAACAAAATTTGCGATGGAAACTTGTTGATATACCTTCAAGTAGCAAATGGTTGAGCAATAACGCAGTGCTTGTCGCGTGTAAACCAACCTTGTATTATCTTCAAACTACTTTGACGCGTTTTGTTAAATAACTAAATAATTGCTTTACTCTATGAGTTTATCTTCACTTACTAAATAAGAGAGTGCGTGATTTTCTATTAAAATGAAATGAAATTTTATATAGAAATGTACATATGTACAATGACGATAATAATGATGATATGATATGTTCGTTATTGATTGCATGTTACATGCGTACGTGATATATTTATTGTACATGAAGGCTTACATTAAACATTATATTATTAAGAACTTATTAAGAACACATACATCTCGTACTTACAAAGCATATTAAATGAAAAATAAATGATATTTTTTTTAATGCCGATGTTGTTGCCATCGTTGTTGTGCGGTTGCGTTTTCTGTTGTACACGATAAACAGCAATGAAGTGATGCCAGTCAAGGAGTCAAGGGCGCAACAAGTGATGACGAATTTTTGTTGACGAGTTTTTGTTTTTGGTTTTTTCTGTTTTTGTACACCAAAAGCAATAACTGAAATATTTACTTGAAACGAGAAGAGATAGATGCTTCATTATTAAATAACGAGAATATCGTCATGTGATAATGCGAATATTTTTCGCTTATTTGCATATGTTTTGCAAAAAAAAACCTTAAATTTTTTTTTATTTATGTTTTTTTTTTTTTTTATTATAAATTTTTTTTTTTTTTTTAACGTTAGATAATTTTAGTAATTCAAAATGCGCACACACGTACGCCCATTTTAGCGTTGCACATATTTTGGATTTTTAATTTCAAGTTTCTTTTTAATTAATTCTAATAAGCTTACTCCATAAGCTTTTATGTTATGAGATCATTTCTTTTTACTCTCTACACATTATGACATTTTTCTTTTTTGCTTTAACTTTTTTTTTCATTTTTTTTTCATTTTTTTTCATTTTTAGAATTCAATTTTCATTTTCTAATTTTCATTCAATTTCGCACTAACATAAGTTCAATGGTTAGTTATAGCGCATGTAAAGTTTTATTATTATTATTATTATTATTACTATTATTATTATTTTTATTGTTCACGCACTATAAGGAAAAAAAGATTACATTTAAAGTGATATTCCACTTACAAATTTTATTTATATCCACTTAAGAATTTCTCTACGAAAACGATGAAGGAAACAATAAAAAAAAAAAGATAAATAAGTTTTCTTTTTCAATGATTGCTTTCTAAAATGTGCAACCGCAAACCAAAACACTTTCGCACAGACTGAGCGGAGAAGCACAACAATCTAAGACAAATAGCAAATATTGTGGTGAAGATATTTACAACACAGAGCGCCGTTATTACGTTTGCTTTTTTTTTGTTGGTTTTCTTTTTTTTTTTTTAAATATATTTTTGTTTCGTTGAGAGATAATCAGATGGCAAACTACGAGGTACGTCTAACTCAGTTTGATTATATATGAGAACAGTCTTTAAGGGCTAGACCGGCTACTGTACATTTTTCAAAAAATCATTTACTTTTTTATTCGCTTAGATGACCCCTTAAATAGTTAAGAATGACATAAAATTACAATTCAGAGCGGGTTGAACCTCAAATATAATTATATAGTGGAAGCAGCGAGCAGCATAACGCAATTTCTGCTACGGTCTTCAGCTCATTACACGTTTTGTTCGCTTTTGCTACGGCCAGTTCTTCCTATGGCTAGTGAACCTTGAGCCTCAAGATCTCCGACCGGGTATCTATCCTTTTCCGGTCTATAGTAGTTCCGTCGCAGTACGGCTTCCACTCAATGGGGGGTTTTTGGGCGTCCTTGGAGAGCAATTATGCAATAGATAAGGGCAGAAGCCATCCGACGTTTTCAACTCAGCAGCTTCAGGCGATTAGGTACCATAACCTAAATCACGTCCGTTGTTTGAAGCTAAAGGTCGTCAACAGGTTAATCGATCGATTTCCTCTCGTTTAGGTTTCAATTATCCTTAGGTTTAGGATAAGTAAGTCGTTAACCTTCTGCATCCAATCCTGGAGCTGCCTGCACGCCTCCTGGACGCCGAATTAATTTAAGCATTTCCCTTACACTTCGGCGAAGCTCATACCGCTCTTGTTTGGTTGTCAGAGCTCAGTTGATTATCGGTAAGGTACACCATGTGCAGGTGAGGTTAACGTTTCAGTGGGAGAGACTGTAAGCAACACTTTACTACTTCGTTGGTGTGGGTGTATGCAACACCCAAAATGAATTGAGACAAACCCACCTTTTATTACACCGATCGATTCAGAAAGTAAATCTAAACTTGTCTGTCCGACTGTCTGTCTTGTTTGATGAGATTTGACTGAGGTGTTTTTCCCCAGGGGCGATCGCTATGAAAAATTGTTTGGATGATCGAACCACGCAGTGCAAGCAGCATAACTCACATAATTACCATGTTTGTCATTCGAATATTTCTGCAGTATTTTTGAAGCAACCTTCTCTAGGAAATCCGTAGGATTTTTTTAAAAAAATTTAAATATTTTTTATTAACAATAGACTGTTTTTTTTGGGTCGAAAATTACAACTCAAACTTGCGCCAATTACGCAAAAATCAAAATGATTTTTTTTTTAAGTTTAAATTTGGACCAGTTGCTCTACTCGTCTCGGAGCCCCTACAGCTAAAGATGTCTGTAGAGAAGGGCTGCGGTGTTGTCAATATTAATATAGGGTATGCTTAATAATATCCGCAAAGATTATTATTGTGCCACCTATAGCTTGGGAAAAAGGAATTTTGCAAAAAAATCTCTTTTTTTTAGGATCTTACTGTTTGGTTTACCCCTTAACGGTTCTCATGTGCAGCTGAGAAAAATTCAATTCGTTTCTTAATGTCTCCTTTACTTACTCCTATGCACAATTAAAATAATTCAAGTATTTATTAACTGAGTAAGATTTTTAGGATTTATTTCAATTATAAACGCACATCATACCTACTTGTGGAGCAGCGTCACTTTGAACAAATCTTGGATTTTGATGTCTTTTATACCTACTACTGTAAGGTGGGGGTGTTCTCAGTTTGTTCTTTCCCTTAATGTATGTAACACTTAAGAGGCAGAGGAAGCGTGAAATTCTGAGTTACTTGAGCCATGTCTGTCCGTCTGCGTGTCTGTGTTGTTGGCACTCTCCTGGTCGCAAAAATGAAGAAATCGACTTCAAATTTGGTGAAAACAGTGGAAATTTCTGCACGCAGTTTGGTCAGAGGGGAAGCGCGCAGTGGAGCGTAAACTGAACGCAACTCAGTTTTTTTTAACAAAAATTTTTGGATTTTCGTTCGTTACTCAGAAATTATTAGAGTTAAATTAGAGCTGAAATTTTCCACTTTGCGAAACATTTTACTCTTTATGTGCAAATATGGAAAAAATCGCCCACACATTTTATGCTTATTTACCATAAGGCAAACAACGTAGAATGCTTAAAACTGGGTTGCACGCTCCTCGAATTAATATATATTATCGGCCTAAAAATGGATTAATTTTAAAATGAAGTTAGTAGACACCGCAAATAACTTTTCTTAATAATACCAACGATATGGGTATCAAATAAAAGAACTTGGAGAGTAGAATGCGGTGCGTATGAGAGATTGGGATTTCTTGCTTGTTCTTTTTCATTATTGTTATCATAATTAATTTACTATTTCTAAGACTAAAGGATTACAGCACTAGTATCTAGAGCTATCGACTTCTTCTTTTTATTACATCAATTGATTGGGTATCATTTTCTAAATCGATATACATCCGTTCACATAATTCAGAACTGTTTTCTGAATCGATTTAAACTCGTCTGTATATTTTATATTTCCATTTTAATAACGCCATTTATGTTAAAAAGCAAGTTAAATCCGAGCTCGCTATCAGCCAAGTTAAAAATCAGTTTTGTTGGCGCTGAAACGGAATTTTTATGTCGTCGATCGATCGATAATTTAATCGTGATCTTTGGAGTTTTATCAACAGTCATAGTTCTCAGTTTTGAAGAAAATTTATTTCTTGACATAATCAGTGTTAGTAGATATCAGGCTTGGTGTCCTTATGGTGGACCTTTTTTTTTAATGTGATCAATCACTCAAGGGATGTCACCTGCATGCATAACACGATGATGATCAAAAAGAAGTAGGAAAAGAATTAGGGAGGGAGTGGCTGTATAACCAACCGTTAAGTTTTATGCCTCTATCAAGCATGGTCTACCACGCCTGTATACTCGGTTATGTGCCAGACGGGATGTGGCATTTAATACACGGCTTGCAAAAATATATATTTTCTATAATTATTTCTTTTTTATTTTAATAAACATGCATGGACTTGGTTAATTTTCTCGTGTGGGATCGTTTAGCAATCGTAAACCTGGCCTTTCGTTCCTCGTTTCCGTCAACAGCTTTCCTTACAAGAGTATTAATTTCTTTTGAACTCTCCACTTGCACACTAGGCTGGGTAAAGAAATTTGGTTAATACTTTTGTGTGCAGTCGTTTCGGATTCGCGTAGACGAGACGTACTTGAAAACGGGAACACCTGGAACGTTTCAATAAGGAGTTAATACACAAAGATGCGTAAAAGTGATTTTCCAGGACTACCACACATTAATAGATCAAATAAGAAAACGATTCAGACACTGGAGACTGAGATCGCACTATTCCTATCTCTCTCTGCCGATGTTGATGGAGTTTATTATTATTATTGTTGTTATTATAAATTTAGCCAGAGAATAAATTCTAAGAATAAAGTCTTAAAGCACCAGCATATAAGGCTTTATTAAAAACTCTACCACCTTGAGGTTTGAACCCACGAGTATTGTTGTTGCTAGTCGAGACTTTTGCTTACTCGGCCACTCAGACGGATTGATGGAGTTTAATTCACACAAAGCGAAGGAGTTTTTATTATCAATACTTCAGTTCCTTCAGATACAAGAGATTGGAATTTACGTTGCCTTAAAAATACAGAAAAGCATTTCTTCCCAGAAGAATCACAGAGAAGACTTTGTGCCTGCTTATTGACACCATTTCGAATGAATAACATATGTAGTTTAATACTGTCTTAGGCAAATTGAAAAATGCAAAAAAAAATTTAAGCACACAATGTATTAAATGATATACCGAACCCGTTGTAAGGCACAGTGCATTGCTAAGGACATCATTTGTTTGACGTCTCTAACAATAGCGATTAAAAATTTGTACATTTTTTGTGTTTATTACATATTTTGATATTACTCGAATAACTTGTTACAGTTGGAAAATGATTCGGAAAGGCTGTAACAAGTCACAAGAAGATAAAGCAATCAATGAAAAGCTTTTTCTTTAAACTTTGCCATTGAGTTGGCAGCACTTTAAGAAAACCGTTATCAGATTTCATTCTCTGTTGCATTTTTGCGTGAATTTAATACGAAATTTCCTAAAGTTTTGAAAGAAGACTTTTTGCCCCTTGTGCAACCGAATACAGCACAACTTAGTCCAAACTTAAATTTTCATAAATCAAAAATTGCATCAAAAAAAAAGGAGTTGCTTTGTTATAAAAAGCTTTTATATAAAACTTAGACCGTGATGTTCTAGTTTTTCATTTATTATATTTATTAACAGTTGGTAGAAAATATATAAGGAGATGTGAAGAACAAACAAAGATGAGAAAAAACAAATAATAATTCATGAAAAGAGAAAAAGCATGTACGCAGCGAGCACAGAGGCACACTCACAACCAGTACAGATCTGAGTTGCAAGTGAATCGTTAAACCATTGCAAACATGCGAAAGCTTGTCAACCGGCAAGAGCAAACATCAATTAATTTTCGAACCATAATGAGATGACTAAGAGATGGCAAGTTAGTTTAAATACGACATAGGCAAACCGCGCGTATTCAGCAAAGTTGTTTTGATAGACTTTAAATAATCCGACATTGAGGTTAAGTGATAGACATCGTTTAGGTTTCCGCAAACAACTCTGAAAGGGTTAAACAGTCCATAATTATATTTATATTGGCTAAGTGTAGTCAAGCTAACGTGCCTAGAGAAGCGATTAGAGACACTAATGCTTATCCCACCAAGCAATGTGGACAAACTGATAGTACCATTTAATAACATAGTTAAGAGGGAAACACCAAGAATGAATCTACGTTTCTCAAGTGACGGTAAGGATAACAGAGGCTACCTATTTTCATAAGGAGAGGAAGAGAAACAAGCGGGTCCCAACTCAAATTTCTAAGGGCAAGCAGCAAGAATTGCTTCTAAACCGATTCAGTTCAAGTTTTGGTCTAGCTAAGTAC